ATAACTCCTGGTAGAATTCAGATTCCAGGAATCGAGGGTAAGAATTGTTCTCCATTAAGCTATAGACTCTCTTCTGAGCTGCACTGAAGCACGTGTGTGTGGCTTCTTGGATGCTCTGAGCAATACTGTTTTTGGTCTGAAAGTCTATGTTGATCTGTAACACAAGAACAAATTCATAAAGATACTGTTTCATGGATAATATGCTCTCCAAAAATGGTTGGCTACAGGATATTGGATACTCAAGCTCTGCTCGTTCCCCAGCATCCAATAATCAGCAAGCTTATAAGGAAGAGCAGCTAATTTTTTAAAAAAACCAGTCTTCCCCATCCTCATGCCTCTCTACGTGACAGACTCTGCAACCAGCACAGCATTCTGAGAATTGAGGTCCAACTCATCTCAGGAAGGCTGCTTTAAAGCAATTTAAGTTAGAGGACATCCACACTGTTTGAACAGAACATAGTCTTGCTTATAAACAAATGAGATAGCTCAGTGATATCCTTTTGTGGTTGCAGATTATATATATATATAGATATACAATGACCAGAACACACTAGTGAACCAGGAAGAGTTTTTGCATTAGCCTTGCAGTTACTTCAGCATTCCTATTCAGTTAACATGAGCCTTCCACAGAAGGATTTGAGGGGTGTTAGAGGTTCATAATATTGCTGCTGGGGCTAGAACCCTAGTGCCATCTGACTAAGTGGATGATACAATTTCCTTTCTTCCTGCGAAATATCTGCCACAGTAATTATGATTCTCAGATTTTAAAGATCTGAAGGAATTTCTTGTTGCATCATACTTCTACTTGTACAACTATTAGGTCTATGCAATGCTTTAATTTTGATCCAGAAAAGATTCTTCAGAACTTGAACAAGCAAATCATTAAAACAAATACAATTGTTTTTCCCAAAATTGTGCAAGTACTTTGGGACACTTTTTGCACTGTCCACATAATCCTGGAAATAGATATATGCTAATATTCAGTCCTGTGTATTCTGAAGTCACTGTTTCCAAATACTGAAGCATTGCACAACTTCAATAGCCACTACAGAAAATAAATTTATATGCCTGAGAATTTAACGTTTTCCAACAGCCTTTATTATACAGAAGTAAAAAATTTAGTTTGTCCTTTTCAAATCCCTGTCATGCACTCTAACCTATAGCAGTGTATTGACATATAGTTAGATAATGTCATACAGCTTGAGAAAAGGTTGAAATGGTTAGACAAATTGGATGACTTTGGGGCAACATTCCCAAGTATAGACATGTTTTCTAAAAAAATCAGAAATAATTCCTACAGGGAATCTACATATGACACTAATATACACTACAGCAGAAACTTAAAGGAACCTTAGGTATAAAATTCATGAACAAAATCTATTTTTAATTCTAAAGTTAGCTTTCTGCAAGAGAATCCTTCTTTGGGAATAATTCTAAGCTGTTTATTAGTAAAACCAAGCCTGAGAACACTTGTTTGGTTCTACTAAACTAGTCAAAAGTAGTTTAACTGAACTAGTCAAAAGGAAAGCAATTTAAATTAGTCTACTTGCCTCCTTAGGAGATTCTTTTTCAATAAAGTCACTGTAAATCTTCTTAGCCTTGGCTGTCAGTTTTTGTGGAGACTTGATTTTCTTGAAATCTTCACAAGCCAGCCAGAAGTCAATGTTCTCTTCACAAAATTCTGATTTCAGGAAAGCTCTGAAAGCTGCCAGACCGTCTGCAAAGAAAGATGGAAAAGATCAACTTATGCAAAGCATCCCAGGAATGTTGTAGATGTCACACACACGCTTCTTTCCCTCTCTCATGCCCTTGTCTTGTTCTGGATATATCTCCTTTAAATTGTTTAAGAAAAATGTACCAGAACAAGTTAGAAAGAACATGAGTAATATGAAGCAGTTGGCCAATTTTTACAAGCTTAAACTTAGCAATCTACAATATTTTAAAAAAAAGTTGTATTCTTTCCCCACCAAGCCAAGCCAACTAAATTACTTAAAAAAAAAAAAAAAAATCTCTTTTGGACTTTGATAGCATATGTTAACCTTTAGACTGGATAACATGTTTATGGAAGAGCTATAAACTCTTGGAAGACAGCCACAATGGAAAGAGTGACCCAAAGTCCACTTTGCAGCAGATAAGATATAATTAGAAAGATCTCACTTAGATTAATAAGCACAATATTTCTCTTGCATAGCCGAGAAAGGAACTTTGAGCTTCCATATCTTTAATGAAAGTGTACACTACCACAAGCTTTTTTTAAAAAAAAACCCTACTGCACATTGTATGCTTTATTTATAATAACCATTGAAAAAAATATCAGTCCTGGAAGTTGCTGCCATATCAAATAGCCAGGATCCATTTAAATAGAATTAGTTCCTAAGACTCATGATACTTCTAATTTCAGCTAAAGTTGGACCTTAAAATCACCCAAGGCCAACTAAAAAATACAGATTAGAATTGCAGAAATACAACACAAAAGCAGCTATTTCACACAAAGCACCTGGGAATTGTGCCTAAAGAAGAAAAAAGCTTTTTCTAGGAATCTGGTGCCCAGGAAGTTTCAAGTGCTAATCCATGAATGAAGATTATTGCTAAATTGCAAACAGCCAATGAGAATTGTGATGTATAAAAAAAACTAGTTTGTTTCCTTCTGGGTCACTTTTCCTGAAACTAGCTTTCTAAAAAGGTTATATATGCTTATCTGTTAATTTTTAAAGGCAACTTACATTTGCTAGCTAGAAGTTCATCAAATGTTTCTGACCACAGCTGAGCTTCTTCAGGAGAAGGTCTGTGAAAAAAGACAAAATTGTTTTGATTTTCAAAGGGCACTGATTCTATGAATAATTTGCCTATATAAAGATTCATGAATGTGAAAGATGAAGTACTCACCTAAAACATGTCTTTTGTTGTCCTTTGTTAGCCTTTGGATTGGTAGAATTGGAGGAATTCTGTAGAAAGTAATTCAGTCTTGATTTCCAATCTTTTATGCTAAAATAAAAGAGAAAAGTATAAGTAAGTTCAATTGTCCTCTTACCAGAAATACCATGTAGTTTATAGATGAGTTGGGCTTGCTTAACAACATCTGCAGAGCTTAGTGCTAGCATATCATGTTTCCCAGATCCATTTGTTAAATTTGGAAATTTAGAAACTGCAGGGACTAATGATAGACTAATATTGTGCAGGCACATCTTAAGTTTTATCTTAATTCACTACCTGGCACACGAATTACATGAACTAAAAGAAATATTATGTAGCAGCAATATAACGCACTGCTTGATGCTCACTAGCCCATTCATTTGTAAGAAAATTCTTACATATTCATTGTTTGATTACTGTGGCTGTGAACCAACAATGACTATTTATTCCAAGGTAGATTCAGCAGAGTCAATATTATGTTCTAAGGTTCAGTGCAATATATGGTATTAGAACTGTAATAAGTATGCTATAGTCCAGCAATATATGGAAAAATAAATCATTCATTTTTGTTGCTGTAAAGGGTGGAGTTGTCTTATTTCTCTTATCTTTCAGAAGTGAAAAATGTTTGCATACTGCAGATTACATAATATAGAACTAATATTAGATCAATCATGATTACCACATTCTGCAGAACTACTTTTCTCAGCTAGCAAGGGATTCTCCTTTGCAAATACTTTTAATTCCATTAGAGATTAATAGCAGATCAAGATCACTCATTTGCAGGACTTTAGCACTTCATACATTCAGCAGAAACATGGCAAAGTTCACCTAACAAGCAACACTCACCTTCCATTCTAATAGAGTCTACCTCAAGAGCTGAGCTGTAGCCAAACTACATGACTAAACATGCTTAAAACAAAAGGGAATATCCTTTTAAGAAGAGCAAAACTGCCTCCAAAGAATTTCAGCCCTTAATTGAATTAGGGTACTGGCAGATCAGAACGTAAGGGAGAAGAATTCCTTTATCTCATTCTTTTTAAACGCTTCCAAAGTTCTAAAGCAACTGGATGCACCTACACACTATTTTTGCTCTGCATAATAGCACCAAAACACAAGACATAGGAGGAAGTGCTTTTAAGCCTCAGCTGTTTTAATGCATCATGTAGGCAACACCTATGCACACTGCTTGCAACAGTGAAAGGTGTTGAAAACCTGGATTTGCAGAGATTAGTCATTTTGACCATAGTATGCTCACAAAACGTACTTAAAATATTTATCTAATAAATTAGTTGCTTAGCTTTGCACAATGCAGTGAGCCGTAAACTAATCAAATAGCCTGAGTTCACACAATATACTAAGCCATAAAGAGATTAAGGCTAATGTTAGCATACTGTACAATGGGTAATAATTGGGCTTAAGGGCTTTGTGTCGATAGTCCCGGACTATCAAAGAAAGACAGTAGGTTCCAAAGAGTGAACTTCCAAAATATATTTATTAAAGTCATGCGATCCAGAAATGGGAGAGACATTATCCATCACCGTTCACTTTTGAGCAACTTTAGAAACGCGCTCGGATTTCACCCCCGCGGTTCTGTGGAAGCCTCTCGGAAGCACAGAACCCGTTGCTAAAATGTGCTCTGTGGAGCATCGAAATTGCCCGGAAGAAAAACGTTTAAATAAGACAATATCTTTGATCGCAACGTTCTAGCTACATTCGGGTTCCCCCCCCGTGTACAGAAGCTTTCGATTTAAATACTCACATGGTGTTTTTCATCTTGCCCTTTTTCTCTTCTTTGCTCTGGCAAAGGCTAGCACTTTTCTCCATTCGGCTGCAGTCGTGCTGGAACGCCAAGAACATTACACTCTGCATACTCTTCCTATACTAAGCACGCGCCCCAACCTAAGAGGATGCTTTGGCAACGCTCTAACCTCGCGCGCCCTTTTATAGGGGAGGAGGCGGGGCTTCGCTCGCACGCCTTTCCTCCGCTGATTTGCTTTGCCAAGGAACAAAACGCCTCCCAAATAAGGTGTTTGCTCGCGAGGCGTGCTCAGAAGAACAGCTCTGACGCAAAAAGCTGTCTTGTCTCCGTCTTGCTGCAAAGATCCCAGTTGGTCCAAGGTTTCCCTCTCCCCCCTTTCCTTCAGCAAGAACTGCATTTTTTTAAAAAATAGGGCTTTTTAAATAGTTGCATCTTTGGCTGCTTGGAGACAGGTAAAAATAGACATCCGGAAGAGTCCTCTACAAATTGGGGGACGCGGATGCAAAATCGATACATGTTTTTGGGGGGGGGCGGGGTTGTTGTGACTTGGGAGTTTTGTTTTGCAGGTAGGTTAATTGCAAAAAAGCCTATATAGTGTTAGTCGTAACGCACGAGGAAGGAGCTTCTGCAGATGTGAATCAGTTGCATCTGCAGATTTTAGTGCATGAGGATTAAATCCTTCGGAACAAAGCTTGCTGGCTTCATAGGTTTGCATTAGCAACATCCGCTACAATCACTGAAAGATTCTTCCCAATGAATATAGTGGGACTTGCAGGATTAGGTTGTTAGGCTTCTGGGAGTAAGTCCCAGTGAATTCAATAAAACTTACTTCTGAGTGAAGAAACAGCGTTTTTAATTAGAGAGAGAGGCTCATGACAATATTCAGAGCTTCTGGGAATGAAGTGTTTTTAGTTTTGATCTCGGCCTAGAACAGGCTGTTATGTGTGAGTTGTTTTGTGCAACCTTTGCTTACCCTTCTGATGTGTCTGTATGCCTGCCAAAAAAGAGGTGATAGATATGGGAAAGTACTTTTCTCCCTACCACACTGAAATCTGGGTCTGGGTGTTGATTTTGGAAATACGCCATTTTGGTTTTTTTCCCCCAAGGGGCATAAAACTTAAACTTATCTAGAGAGTGGTTTATTTGATTGGAACAAGATTAAGGAACAAATGTTCAGCTATGGAGCACAAAATAACAGTCCAATGCCTGGATCTAAATGGAAACATTTGTATTTCTTTAAATAGTTTTCGTCATGCTTAAAGTAGACTTCTCTCAGTGCTGCTGTTGTAGGAGGAGAGTTGTGTTAGTGCAGGGTACTGGTAGAGGATTTAAATTGGGATGAATCTGATGAAGTGAGCTGCGCTTCACAAAAGCTTTTGCTTTTTAATAAAATGTTTTTTTTATTATTTTTTTGGAAAAGTTGCTACCAGGCTCCATTCGATTTTGTACTAATATTGGAGCTCACAGCTAAATTGAGATTTACACTGAGTGCTTCCCAGGTGATGCATCTAACACTGTGCTATCTCAACATATAGGTAGGTGTGCTCTTAGAAAATCTGATAAAGGATGTGATGACACACGAGTAGGTGGAATATTGAATGTTTGCAAAATAAATTTTCAGTTTGCTGATTTGGGCTATCCGTACTTAGAAGAACAGATAGCCCAAATCAACATTCTAAAAATTAGTTTGAATTGAATGAACCCCCCCCCCCACCCTATACGTATGTTCGTACGTGGCACTACACCACCTTAC